ATGAAAAAGAACCCAGACTTGAACATATCCTAAGATGAACAAACAAGTATAGACATGAACAGAAAATATCAAAGCAAGCCTTTAGCAGGTTCACGAAACCAATATGAATGGTAACCCACCTCCTGCCAAATCATAAATAGTCCTTTTTGCAGTTTTGGGCTTGGTGGCCAAGCCTTTGAACAGGAGTGAGGCTAAGGGTGACCCTGTTGTGATAGAGACCTGTATCTAGTTAGCATGATAACAAAGAAATTTGCATTTGAAAAGCAGCAACATCTCTATCATAACAAGATCACCCTTAGCCTCACTCCTGTTCAAAGGCTTGGCCACCAAGCCCACAACTGTAAAAAGGACTATTGTCCCTAAAGAGCCTCAAGAGGGGAGGAGTCAATTTAAATTTTTCGTATTAATATTTTATTATCATCATTATCAATATCGGTATCATATTACAATTGCCGTTATCAAAGTAAGTAACGTTAATTGCAAACAAGAGCACAAAACTGTACAATTGATTTTGTGCACTGTTCTTTTTATCGGATCCCACAGCACAGTACAAAAAGTAGCTCCCTTTTCTTCTCCCTATCAGAACAGATGCAAATACATGTACAACTCTTTACTGCTCAAAAGGGTGAAAGGTTTAATCATTTCCTTTTGCCATTCAAGTGTATCTTTTTTAAAACTTATCTATTGTTGTACTAACCTTAGCTCTTTTTTGTGATAATTGGTCTGGATTATTGCTGTGATCCCCAAGTATCATTTCATCAGCAGTACAAAATATTTTGTCACGTAATTCTGTGAGACACTACAATAAAGCAAACAAAATGAGCCTCCACAACTGGTGTGTAGTCTAGATGTTTCCTCCGTCATTTGCTTACCGCAGAAAAGTTACATTTACGAGTTATTGAAACCAAATGAGAATGCCTGAAAACAGAAAGAACCCTTAAAAATTGGACAGAAGTGTCCAAAAGTAGATATAATACTACAAAATCAGGTTAGGTGATAATTTTTTCTTTCAACATAAATTCTTGGATGTTTAATCTGGCATTGATCTTCAATAAGTGAATGACGTATTGTTGCTTCATTTTCATTTCAAGGGTGTATGTCAAAAAATAGGCCAACTTTGCAATGCTGTCTTGAATTTGTTTTGTGTTGTTTATTTTTGAAAAAGGAATGGCTTTAATTAAGGTCATTAATCACACCAATCTAACAATTATGACCACAAGTAAAACTTCCATTTACCTGACTTCCCAGCACATGGAATTCTTGAACCTTGTTTTGCTAAAGAAAGAACATACCTTAATAAGCTTTCACCTGTTGATGTCCAGTGCGCCCATAAGTGTCCATGTGGACAAACACACTTTCTACGCCTTGTGACATCATCACTTTTAACCCTGGAGCACGACTTTGAGCACATACTTGAACAGGTTGAAAATATCTTACAAACGATACCAGAATAAGCGCAACTGAGTGAAGGAGATTGGAGAAATAGCCAAAAAACCATGTAACTTTGACCTGAAGATCTGCATGAAAATCTTATTCCATTACCCACCTACCTTTCTGAGCATGTGGTTTAAAAATAATGAGTAGTTTCCTAAAAAAATCTCTACACCAAAATGAAGCCTACTAATTAAATTTCCAGCAAGTGAGGAGAAACTTCAGGTAAGGAAAGGGGAAAAAAAGGGCAGGAGAATGAGAGAAAATCTCGAAATTTTGCTTTCTGTGCATGCCCGAGATTTTTAGGCCGCCATTTTGCATTTGGATCAAAAGGCCGTCGAGTGTACAAGCTGTCAATGGGTTTGTGGTAAGTTTGAGCTTTTAAACCCACAACAGTGACCCCAAATCTGCTCGACTAGCTTCAAAAGACAGTTTTTCACAAAAGCTGTGGCTATTAATGGGTTAAATTATAGTTGAGTAAGTCAAGGCCCCCTGTCAGCTGATCTGAAAATGGTCATGACTGGAGACCTAAATATACAATAAGGGGATATCTTGACAAGTATGAAGAGAAAAATATCTAATAAAACAATGAAGTGGCACAAAAGTATTCTGCCATAGTGGCACGATAGAATTATGCCGTGGCAGTTTAATTCTTTGTGAGTGACTTTACTGACCTTACGGGGATGACAAATTGCGACTGACAGGACAACTTCATTTGTCTTAATTTCCTGAAATGTTTGTGGTTCTTTAGAGGGTTGTATTTCCTTTCAATGAAAATAATCAATGGTGAGTTAATTACACAGATGACAATGTAGAGGTGTATACTTATGGTCCAGGCGGTTTGAAGGCTGGACATTGCTAGGAACCACATGAATACCTATCCAGTTAAGACTGTCATCAACACAGCCACATAACCAATGGTATGCTGTCCACATGAACAATTAACATAACTAGATTCTACATTGCAGAATGCATCTCCATAAATGTGATAATAAATAAAAACAAAGGTAGTCACAACAGCCAATCAGAACCAAGGAAACTATAGAAACAATCAGACCGCCTGGGGTGCAAGAAAGCAAGAAAGCAAGAGTGACTATATTGTGAATGGTTTCACGATTGAACTAACTGGCCTTAAAATTGGATTGGTTAAGAAACTAAAGAAACTTCGGCAAAGTAAAGCAATCTAACCACAGCAATTCCAGATTACAGTGCACTTTTCACACTCAATTAGATTTTGCTCTTTAACACTATACCAAATAAATCACACCAAAATACAGTCTCAGATTATTGGACGGTAAGCATCACATGGTATAAACTCAGAGCTTGTTCTTTGGCTTGCTACAGAACTGATGTATTTCTGTGTGTACCTTTATAAGATAATTCACTACTTTTCTATGCACTGTTAGTCTTCCTCTTCTCTCTTTCACTAGCCTGCAGTTTAACAGGTTAGAAGTGATTAACATGCAATTACAATGTGATCTCTTCAACACAGGTTACGAGAAGTCAGACATGTTTATCCACAGGTGGCCCAAGCTCTCTTTGAGAACCACACAAGGAACACAATTTGCATATTTATAAGGATTTGTATGGGATTTTCTACAAGATATCCACAGAGATAGTTAAAAGTGAAAATATTAAATAAAAATGGCTCACCTTGTTCCATACGTGTGTTGTTTGCTCCTGGTGTCATTATTTTACTGATTTCACTTGATTTAAGCTTTTTTTTTTAATCCTGGTTTTCTACTAACCAGGATTAAAAAACCCGCTTAAATCAAGTGAAATCGGTAAAATAATGACACCAGGAGCAAACAACACACATATGGAACAAGGTAAGCCATTTTTATTTAATATTTTCACTTTTAACTATCTCTGTGGATATCTTGAGGAAAATCCCATACAAATCCTTATAAATAAGCAAATTGTGTTCCTTGTGTGGTTCTCAAAGAGAGCTTGGGCCACCTGTGGTTTATCTGCTAGAGACTGCTGTTTTGGAACAAGACCAAATTTTCTTGTCTAATTTCCAAGGAAAAGTATGACAGTAAGTAGGGAGAATTAATAATTGGATCTTGAGAGTTCACAGGTTAAATAATATCTATGACAAACACTATAAATCATATCTTTAATCAAGGATAATGTAATCAATTTTGCAAACTACAATCATTATGACACCAGTTGGTCAGTTTGTTTTAAATCCTGCTGGGTGACAAACTACTTTTATCAATTTGAGCTACAATGTACATCTAATCTATGCAGCATTTCCAAGAAGGATGTTAGGTAAGAGAGAATCTACCAAAGAGAGGAGAATTACTGTACAATACATTACAATACATTCATGTATATATGGAAGAACAGATGGGATAGCACTCCCTGGTGACAGATAATAAGTGATAAATGCCTAACAGTTGATGAACACACAACTATTTTTGCTTACTTACTTTAAGGATTCAAGCTCTACCCCATCAGGAATGGAATTTCCAAAAATGTCTATTGATTCCAGGCCTTCTGTTTCTGCTGGGCACTAGGATGAAATCAGAGTCTGTATGAACTATAACCACTTTGGTGTATTAGTCTTAGAAAGGGGCCTTGCTTAAGGAAACTTGTGTTTAATAGAATATGACTGATAGCAAAATGTTTCAAGAAAAAGGAACAATGACATTGCTTGAAGTGCCCATAATGTCAAAAAATGTTTTTCGCTCATCTAATTCTACATTTCACCAAATGAACTTCGGTGAAAAATTTTTTCGATTTGGATAAAACGCAATTTTTTTACGAATTTTTACAAAGTTCAAAATTCTATTTTCTTGCGGTTGACCCCTGCCGCTGATCACAAGAATAACGTGCTCAAAATGATCACATGACTGATGTCTGTGACATAAGTTCAGGAACCTCACTTGACCTTAAAGTGCATATAAACACACTGGTCGAGTGCGGGTCGTTTACGATATTGTGAGCTTACGATGTTGTGACCACTCTGAAGCAAATTCCCACTTGTTTTCAAGTCAGATAAGTCACAACCCAAAATCACATGTTCCTGAACCAACGTCACGACTCACTTTAAACCGAGGAGGACTGGTGTGAATGGTGCACCAAAATGGCGGCAAACTTGAATGTCTTTAAAAATTATAAAAAAATTGCGTTTTATCCAAATCGAAAATTTATTTCGCAGAAGTTCATTTGGTGAAATGTAGAATTAGATGAGCGAAAAACATTTTTTGACATTACGGGCACTTTAAGGAAACTTGTGTTTAATAGAATGTGACTGATAACAAAATGTTTCAAGAAAAAGGAACAATAACAATCCAGAATAACTATAAAGCTGGGTCAAGAGCCATTATAATAAATTTTAAGGAAACAAATGGTGTAGCCTCATAAATACACCAAATAGAGCTAGTTATTGCCCCATTTATTGAAAGGTTTCTATGTCTAAGAGCATGAAGATCCCCTAAAAATTTAGCTAAAATACCAAAGAACACCCCTTCTGAACATGTTCTAGTGCATATAACTCCAACCATGTTCAATCGCATAGTTCTAACCATGTTCTAGTGCAGAGTCATCAGAAAAATTGAATTAATGTCAGTCAATCTGACAAAGCTAATACTAACTGATACTGGTGATAAATTAAACAAGTTTGTACTAGACAATTGTTGATATACCTTTAAATTGCTTGAACTTTTTCACATAGAAGAAGAAAAAAAAGAAAAAAAGACAAATAAATATATACATATTTTAGCAAAACATAAGTTAAACACAAAGGACTGTTCACATTTCCAATTTCTATTACAATCTTGGGGTGCAAGGTTTCCGTATAATTTGGGTATAACCCCATGCAGGCCATACTTTTGCATATAGTAAATTACAGTTCTTTGATCAAAGCAAACAATAGTAATCACAACAGATTACCTCTCGGGCCAAAGCTTTGTTTTGGAATAGTATGGGGTTATACGAGAATATTTCCAAAGTTCAAGGCAGATTAAAGGTGGATTGACTTGACAGGGCATGCAATGGACAAAAATAATCATGCAAAACCATATGGATCGTTGGTGTTCTCTTGAGTATACCTGCATACTTCGCTCAGGTCTGTTGCTACATCCATTGGTACGTTCATTTCCTTAGCCATTTGTGTCAGGTCGAGTTCAAACTTCTTCCTTTCATATTGAGCCGGTTCCAGAAACTCCATAAACTCTTTCTTAAACTGTTTTATGGATATCAGATTTGAACACTCTCCACGAGCCGCCATTTTGAACGAGTACTACGAAACATATAACGATAATTCTGATTGGACAAAAGAGATAGAAGAGAGCACTCACCAATCAAAACACTTTTACTAAGTTATATTCATAATTGAGCATTATGGTCTAGATATATGATACCTGACTTGTTTTGCTCACCGCACAAGGAAATGCGGAAGGCTTGCTAAGGAAGAAGTTAACCGTAGAGGAAGTCAATTATATTGTTAAAGCTGTATCTGGGACGCACTCAAAACAAAGATTAGCTGACTTTTGCAAGTTGGAAGAGCCATTTTCTCAAAACTATCAGATGAACTCGCGAAATGAGCTCATCTCCGTACAACTGGCAGTCTGAGAAAACCTCTGTACAGGATGCCATCTCCTTCCTCTTTAACAACGAAGTATTGAGCGACGTACATTTTATGGTAGGGAAAGGCACTCAGAGGCGACGAATTCCTGCCCACAAGTTTGTACTTGCTGTAAGAAGCGCTGTTTTTGATGCTATGTTTAATGGTGGAATGTCAACAGAGTCAGACGAAGTTGAAGTACCCGACGTTGAATATTCAGCTTTCCAATCCTTGCTTCGATTTCTTTATACTGACGAGGTACAAATTGGACCCGAAACAGTAATGACGACTCTTTACACAGCCAAGAAGTACGCGGTGCCGACTCTGGAAAACGCCTGCGTAGATTTCTTAAAGAAGAATTTAAATCCTGATAACGCTTTTATGTTGTTGAGCCAAGCAAGACTGTTTGATGAACCCCAATTAGCAGCTCTTTGCCTCGATTGTATTGACAAGCACACTCCAGAGGCGATTGCAGCGGAAGGCTTTACTGATATTGATTTTGAAACGTTTTGTGTTGTTTTGGAAAGGGACACTTTGTCCATCCGCGAAAACCTTTTGTTCGCTGCAGCTTTGAGGTGGGCCGAACACGAGTGTCAGCGTAGACGATTACCCACCACTCCAGAAAACAAAAGGTCAGATTAGCAACATAAGAAGTTGAGAAGCTTTTGGAGTTTAGGGGCTGATAGTTTCGAAAGAAACTGTTTGGGGCTGCGTCGGTGGGAGTAACGAAATAATTTGGATATATCAACAAAGTTGAAATGGTAAATTAGCCACCGTAATGATTTCAAAAGCTGTCCGACGAAGGGCTAACGCTCGAAACGTCAGCTTTTGAAATCATTACGGTGGCTAATTTACCATTTCAACTTTGTTGATATATCCAAATTATTTTGGAGTTTAGGACGCTCTTAAGAACACCTTGGAGTTCATCTCCTCATTTTTTTACTCCACGCAATCTTGAGCACGGGAAGGAAATACCATTCAATGAGAAACAAATGTCAGACTGTGGAGGGGGGGAGGAGACGGAAAGGGGAGAATTGATTAAGAATGTAAACAAAGAGGAAAACTTCTTTGTGCCTCTAGGATCTTAGCAATATTGGAGTCTTGGAGGGCTTCCCTATAAGGGGGGGGGAGGGGTGGTTCAAAGAGGAGTTTTGGTGTTTTTGTTGGTCACTGATTTTGCCAGCTCTTGTAGGATTTGTGATCTCCAACTTTGCTGTACTATGAAGTGTACAAACCATAGCATTGGTGGCTGGTCACCCTGATTTTTGTGAAATTAAATTATTTTTAATAATCATATTGTATTTACGATCAGCACACTGATCATAAAGGTGGTGAACTTGACCTGGCACATTTAATGATTGTATGCAACATCTTCCAAATTAAAGTAATAGTTTCTCTCCTCTATCAATCAATTTTTCAAAAAATGTAGCAATAATCATTTTAATCATTTCTTGCAGAAATGTTCTTTCAAAAGCCCTGTACATGATTCGCTTTCCGCTCATGAACCTTGAAGAATTTGCCTCCAGTGCTGCACAGTCTGGAATCCTCACAGACAGAGAGGTGGTCAGTCTGTTTCTTTACTTTACCGTTAACCCCAAACCAGAGGTTAGTTTCTTGGACAGGCCACGCTGTTGTTTGACTGGTAAGGAAAAGGCAGTTTGTCGCTTCCAAAAAGTTGAGAGTCGTTGGGGTTACAGTGGTACAAGTGACAGGATACGATTCACATGCAGTCGAAGGATCTTTGTGGTGGGCTTTGGTCTGTATGGATCAATGTATGGTCCCAGTGACTATCAAGTAACTATCCAAGTCATTTTGACAGACTCGGGTAAAATTCTGGGCCACAATGAAACTGCATTTAGCAGTGATGGCAGCGACTCCACTTTTCGGGTCATGTTTAAGGAGCCAATTGAGATTCATCCTGGAGTAGGTTACACTGCCAGTGCAACTTTGAAGGGTCCTGATTCACACTATGGTACTTCAGGTGGAAAGAAGATTGTGTTTGAAACAGAGCAAAAGGAAAAGATAGTTTTCCAGTTTTCATATGCCACTGGAAATAATAATGGAACCTCCATTGAGGATGGCCAGCTACCAGAACTAATATTTTACACCTGATCAGACAGAACCGCCATAACTGTAAAGATGGACTGAAAGGAAACATTATACACAATGTACACTCTGTACATTCCCCCACTTATTGTACATACCCCATGTTATTATTTGGTTGACTTTGCTTTCTGTTAAGCACCTGTTCTTGTGGGCTTCAATGTTTTCAATACTTTGCTTGAAGTCAAATTAGTTTAAAGAAGGACAACAAGCTGTTTACTTAATATATATTGTAGCCCTAGATGAACTTTATTCTGTAATGGTTAATTGTGACACTTAAAAAGTGTTAAAAAGGGGAAGTGGAGAAGTGATGTAATGAAATCAAATGATACATATAAATAAGAGACACCAATTAAGGTTGTGAGTTTGATGATGTGCATAGTAATGAAGTAGAGGCAGCAAAATAGTCTCTCTTGTAGAGAAAGTTGAAATTTAGTGAAAGATGATAGGAAGTTGGCATGCTGTCCTGCTTTTTTTGTTAAAGAGTTTTTGACAGGTCGGTTGGAATAGGAGACTTTTTGACCTGTCGTGGGCTGTTTAACCCCTCGTATACTGTACATACGTGGGTCATAAAAGAAAAAGGAGATTTGCAGATTTTAGATCTATCATCAGGAATGGAATAATTTTCTTGATGTGCTACATCTGTGTCACTTTTTTTTTGTGGATTTAAAACATTTAACAGTATCTACTGTCCAAGGGGGAGTTAGTTGTGCAAAAGTGTCTCCAGAGAATTATATATGTGCCAGAACATATTTCAGAGAGAGTGTGAGTAAAGCTTTAAAGAGTATCTTGGGCATTAATTATTTTACAGATGTACTGTAACACATCATAAGTTTAACCCCTTCACTCTCAAGAACTTGATAAGTAGTTCTCCCATATGTATCTCATAATTATAGTTTGAGAATTTGGCATTTAGTTTAAAAAAATAATCTCTTTGTTTTATTTTATGTGTATTCTTGTCACTTGTGGGCTCAATATAGTATTGAAATTTGAGAGAGGAGGGTGGTCTTGGTCACTCCTGGGTGCAGAAGGGTCATCAGACTGAAAAGACTTACCAAAAACCATTCACTTTACTAGAATAACATTAATTTCCCAAAGATATTATACAAAGTAATTGCTAGCATAAGTAGGAGTAACTTTATCAGGTGCATACCTAGCTCTAAAATCTTTTGTAGGCCTGTACCCTTAGAAAGTTGAATGTTTGGTTCAGAATTTGCAAGGGTTGACAATAAAAATCAATGGGCAAAAATTAATTGTTGGCCTGGATCTACAGAACCACAGGCTGCAAATTTGTTGAACTACTGAAACGTGTAACATCAGTTTTGTTAAAGGTTACCCTTATTAAAACTTTTTGTCTCTGGCCTTTCTTTTGTTTATGTGTGATGAATAAAATAGTGATATTGTTTTTTACTGGTAGTACATGATTGAAAAGTCACAGTGTAGTTTTTGGTTGTACTTTAAAATGTACAATAACTCTGTAAATGTGTGTAAATGACCTTAAAAAAAGTGTCTTTTTGACCCAGTTGAATTTGTATAAGTAATAACATGATTTTGATTGGAATTTGGTGTGTAAGCAGAAGGGAATTTTTTCTAAACAACAAAATTGCACTATAAATCATGAGGTTAATTGTTAATTATTTATATGAAAGAAGAATCGCAGAAAGTGAGGACAGACAACATTTTGACAACTTGTTTGCATTTGTAATGCACCAATGTTACAACTCTGTGCTGTAGTTACACGAAAAATGTGCTTTAGCCAATCAGATGCGAATAATTTTTTTCAAGTATATCATTAGCCATCAAATTGTATAGGATCTAACTGACATAGAATTATGTGTTATATTGATCCTGCTTGACCTACACTCGATGTTCCGTAGATATGATAAAACAGTAGAATTTATGGAGGACTGAGATGACTGAGAAGGACCAAAACATATTTANTGTTTGTTTGTTTTCGACTGTCTCCTGAATAATGTTTGCACACCCTTTAAGAACTACTTCGAAAGACTGGTTCATTCTAAGGCCACTAGGAATAACGGTATATCAGTGAAATTACCCAAAGTACGTTTAGAATTTGGTAAAAAGAGCTTCTATTACCAAGGAGCAAAGACTTTCAACAACCTGCCTGCTGAACTAAGGTCGTTAGATTCGAGACTGAAATTTAAGAACAAATTGCGAGATTATTTTAGTTAAAAATTCGATCTAAACGTGGTTATAGGTATCCTTTTTCAGAGCATTTTATTTTATTGTATGCTTTTCTAGACCTTAAGATCAATGATTATATCTTGTTAAGTTTTATTTTATTTATTTATTTATTATTTAGACAGGACCCCAAGGACAACAGTGTTACACACTGATGGGTTTTCAATCCTGTATAAAAATTCGTTATTATTATTATTATTATTATTATTATTATTAATAGTTTACTGAGTACATGTGGCCATAGTTAGCGGGCGAACGTGGCCTTGAAGTGTTGTTACTTATAAGTCGGGGGTACAATTCTGAAAACTCCCACGGAGACTTGAAATAATACATTAAGAACTGCAGCTCTCCCACCTCACCCCGGCTTGCTCTAAGTGGTTTACTTTCCAAGAACCCAGACCTCAAACGGCCAACATCGTTTAAATGAAGTTTACATCACTAAAAACGTGTCAGCCAGGCCAAAGGAGAGAAAACATTTTATTCATATGCAAATGAAAAGAAGAGCAAAAGGTGTTGCAGAGTTAGAATTTGGAATAAAGCGGCTATCATTGATGTGTACGTCTATTTTGCATCTTTGAATGCAACAACAACCTTTTATACTGTCATTCGCAGCTCAGCCGATCTGGTCATTTTTAATTGTAGCGGTGATTGTTTTCAGAAGAAGTTCGGATTTATCAGAATTCTTTTATGTAACTATTACATTTGGATACTGACTATCTCATTGTCCTTTGAAGACAGCTAAATACATAGCGCAGTTCTTAACAGCGAAGATGCGAGTGAGACTTAGACGAGTTTTGTCAAAAGTTTTATGGTAAAACTCTTGCGAACTGATCACGCATCGGATCCAAACTTCACCCAAGATATCAAAAGCTTACAACTTTAAAAAACATTGGGCTGGTTTGAAAAGTTTGTTAGAATTGAAACTCCAGGCTACAGCATGGTAAAAGAAACTATTTGTGGTCAGAAAGTTGCAGCGTAAAACGTCACACGAAACTGAATAGCAAATGGGTCTTAGACATTACAGATAGATGGGCAGAAAGTTCCCACACTGACTTTATACGGTTCAGTTGTTGTCGTGTATGCGTATTAATTGGCTCAAAAACGTTTCCTAGATTTCGCCATCATTAGAAATATCGCGTTACCTAAATCTGATTTTAAACAAAATTACAACTCAGGTTTTGTCCAAAAACAGAGTAGATGTCTATGAATGAGGAAACATTATGTATCTTTTCTATCACCGATGTCTTCAACATTGCACGAAAATCCGTGACTATAATTGCGATAGATTTAAACGGCATTTCTTATTACTGGCGATCCCTAGCGAGGCAGCAGCCTATTCTTTCCAATAGCGAGAATAAGCCAAAATTTGTCGGTTGTAAGATCGGAGACATGCGCAGTCGATTGCGTTTTTTATATCCGGGGTGCTTGTGATGACATCACGTAAAATCCACGTGTAAATATCGATCAATTTTGAGCAGTAGCTGTGCACAGCCGTCTCCCTCTGCTAGAAATCAAGAACACGATGAACAGGGTGAGTTTCTGATATAGATGTCTTTAATTGCTTGTGGAAATATTCATCGAGGTCATGAACGGTTTAGTGATGACTCTCGAGGAAGACAAGAAATATTTTTTTGTTTGGCTGCTCTATTAAGCAATTTTTGCCGATTCGCGAATGGAGATTCCAAGANGAAACGTCAGCTTTTGCAATCGTTACGGTGGCCAATTTACCATTTCAACTTTGTTGATATATCCAAATTATTTCGTTACTCCCACCGACGCAGCCCCAAACACTTTCATTCGAAACTATCAACCTTTATTCACTTGAAAGCGGAGGTTACTCATGTGGAAAGGCAGCGACCAAGGTTAATGTTCATGGCCATTCGAACAAGATCTGGATAGTTCAGTGGAAGATATGAAAAGTGAGAGAAAGACTTTACTTCACATGTACTTCGCATGTGCTCCAGAAGAAAGCCAAACAGGCTCCAAAGTAAGTTGTGGTTGTTGTTATTTTTTTAAGGATAAGCTAGCTTCAGACACCTGTTACATTTTATTTTAACTTATAATTACGTTTTGAGGTTCCAAACAGTGACCTATTCGTCCTAAATTTGTCCCGTCAAATTAGCTAGCTAAATGTTCGGCCTGAGGTGCACGCGTGCAAAATGGATACTTTTGAGGTTAGTGTGGAGGCCGTTATTCAAAAATATATTTTCCTAGTAAAACTGATGGAGGACGGAAACTTTACCAGAAGCAATCATGAAATATACAAACAGACCATACATTTCTCAAGAAACCAGGACTGAAAAATTCAATCAAAAGTTAGCGTCAAAACCCTTTCTCAGTTAGCACAATAATGTGTCCAAAGAATAAACAAAGCAAATCATTTTGATAAAATTGATCTTATTTGCACTTTTCTGAACAAATAAAGCATCTTTTATGCTTCGAGCAATTCAAAGCTTCTAACCCCATGGTAACCCTCCGAACTAGCTTAAGAACTTTTGCAGATTAATCTGTTCAATTCTCGCCCCCGGGGCAAACATTGCTCCACCCAAGTTCTGCGATTTGATTGGTAAAAAAAAAAAAAAAAAGCGACCTTGACATTCTACTCATTGACCAAGCCTTCAAACTTAGACTTTGTAGACCTTTTCTTCTGAGCAATTCGCTCGCGAAAAAGAAATATATCACTTGCATTCCGCTGGAGAGACTTGACCGTCATTTCAGGTTCAAATTCCCCACCCCAGCCAGGCAAGGTTTAAAGTCCCCACCGCAGCCAGGCAAGGTTCAAATTCCCCAACCCCGAGCACAGACTACGGTCAAATGCCGGCTGTTGAAGCTTCGAACTGATTGATGCATTAGACTGACATCAAGTTAATGTGCTAAAAAAAGCTATGCAGCTTTCCTGTAAACAGCTTTTTCCTCTCTTACAAATTTCTTGTTATTTATTCACACGTTTTATCTTGTCTAGCTTGAGGGTCGTGTTTCAATAAAAGACATGTCCTTCCGGCAGACAAGTTGGATCACAGAAGACTCATAGTACCATATATAGGATAGTGACAGAAAAATCATTACAATCTTAGTTAGTCTCTTGTGAGGATTCGAACCTCAAGCAGTCAGCCCATAGAAGGTGATCCCAGCGGGGTGGAGAGTTTCGTGCGCTCCACTCAGTGCTTGTTTATCTTCGCGTCCCGAGGAGAGGTACGTGCGGCGCAGATTGCCCATACTTCGATCTCACCCTCTGGTACCTCGGCAATGATGAGCTTGTATCGTTTCTGTTTTTATGTTTTTGATTTTTGCTTTCTCTTTTTTTGATACGAGTACTGAGCCGTTAAAGAGGTCTCCGACCCGGAGGCCAGTCAAGTCGGTTGTCGGCTGTAACCACCAGGGGACTGTGTCTATCTTCAAGTGGAGATTGTATTTTCTCTTTTCTCCCGCACCCTTAACATCCATAGTCAAGGGAATACAAAAACAACTCTAGCGAGGTTGGAGAGTATCTCCTTAACTGAACGATGATAAAAAATTATGGCATTTGCTGGACACAATAATCTGTGGCGACTGAAGCTTTTAAAGCTTAACTTGAGAGGCACCGCAAAAACTAATTGTCTGTGTTATGTCCATCCAAAATCAGTGACCAGCTGAGATGAGAAAAATGCGTGTCGACCTTTGTAAGAAACTGCACTGAAAACTACAGTTTCTTTTCTAAATGGTTAGCAAGCCGAATGAAAATTTCTAGCGACCTTTGTGAGGATTGAAACCTCAGATTTGCCGATTTTACTGTCAAATCCAAAACTCACGCGGTAATTGTTCCTATTACACACTAAGCATTGCAATATTTTGCCTCTCGAATTTGTTATCAACAGGTGATGTAGACGCAGTTGTTTTCAATTCAGCGATTCAGTGGGCCAATCCGCAGGCGGGGGCTGTACGTGTATAGAGAGCTGCTTTTAATGTCCACGGTGCTTCAACAAGGGAGCAGTTTAAAAGTTGTGGTATCAATGCATCAAGTTTTTATTGAAAAAAGAAAAGCACTTAAAAAGTTGTGGTGAAAATGCATCAGGTGTTTGTCAACAAGGAAGCAGCTCAAAAGTTGCCGTGTCAAAGTATCATGTGTGTGTCAACAAGGAGACAGTTCAAAAGTTGCGGTATCTATTCATCATGTTGTTGAAAACAA